GAACAGCGCTACCCACATCTTTCCCCGGGTGAATGTCTTGGGTGTTGGTGGTTAAGCGCCGTTGGTTGATTTCTCTAGCCAACTGCAGGAAACGGTCCGATGCCATGTCGTCGGTTGACTAGCCAAATCTCTTTCACAATGCTACTTTCGTTTCAATGACTGCGAATTTCGACGTTTCCTTTCTCTTTTTTCGCCATCCTTCGGCGAGGCAGATACAGATCTAGACAGGCCTGTGAAGGTAGTTGAGCTCTTCGACAACGATGAGCTCTGGTCAATCTCTGAAATACAATAAGTGAAATGACTCGAATACTAGAGAACATGTCTTCATGATATCAGTCGATAGCCAGCTGACTTCCGGCAGTGGATCGCGAAAATCATCGCCGAGCCCGAAGAGCCAACATCCTCCCGCACGGGTTGCCCAAAAGAGTAAGCCGAGGCTGGGCGGCCCAAAACTTTTCTTCCTTTGACCTGGACAAAAAATAATTGCAGCAAGCTGAAAGGTTATGGGAAGAGTAAGACCCTTTTTTAGTCTTGGTGTTGTCTTGGTCGTCGCTTGGTGTTTCTCGGCGGGCAAGGGTTCGCTTGCGGAAATGACGTTGGCCAAGTTTTAAGCTTAAATCGCTAGTCGGTTGATATTGGACTATTTGATACCCACGGGGTTCTTGAGTCTCTCCACTTCCATGTCAGCAGCTGCGGACCCTCGAATTTGGCGAGCCTTGAGCCAAAGTACTTGGGCGGTTTTGTTTCCGAGGGTAAACATACACGGCGTGATCTGCGAGAAACGGAAAATCCTTGTTCGAGCAGCAATGAATGTCGTATCTAGACAACCCGGTCTTGGGGAGCCGAACTCATTTCGACTCTCCAGCAACTTCGTGTCTCACGTCAAGCATGAGCCAAAAACAATACTCAATCTCAGCTTTCGAAAACAGACTGATATCGAATCTCCGCTCGTGATGGACGAGACTTTCAATCCCACAGTTTGCAGTGAGCCGGCCTAGACTTGCACTCGTGAAGCAAAGAAGAGCGGGCGGAGTAAGAACTCCTTCTGCGACATAACCTGAGTTGCGTAGCCACCATTATTTGAAACGACTCAGCTAGCAATGGAACCAAATTTTGCACGAGAGATATTATCAGTCATAACTCTCATTTTCATTTAAACGTTACGATATGGTTCATTAAAGCTTAAGAATAGCCTTCCCGAAGTTCTTTCCGGTAAGCATGCCGATCAAACCATCAGCAGCGTTGTCGATGCCCTCAGTAACCGCCAGCTTGGACTTGACGCTTCCCTCAGACAGCCACTTCTGCAAGTTCTCCTGGTGATCCTTGAAGTGGGCGGGGCCAAATTTGGGGTTACCCACGAGGAAACCTTGGAGGGTGATCTGCTTGGTAACGAGCTGCATCAAGCCGTTGATGCCCTTTTGTTGATCGGCAGGGGTGTTGTAGTTCGAGATCTGTCCACGCATTAGCGTCCTATTCAAGTCCATGTAGGTATCAAAGTCTCAATTCCACTACTTACCATGCCACAGACAGCGATGCGGCCCTCGGTGTTCATGCTGGTGAGGGCAGCCTCGAGGTGATCTCCACCGACGTTCTCAAAGTAAATGTCTATTCCGTTGGGGGCCAGCTTGGGAAGAGCCTCGGCGGGCTTCTCCTTCTTGTAGTTGAATCCGGCATCGAAGCCAAGCTCCTTGGTGATGAAGTCAAGCTTCTCATCTGAACCGACGGAACCGATCACGGTAAGTCCCTCCCGCTTGGCAATCTGGCCGACGAGCTGGCCGACAGCACCCGCAGCCGAGCTAACAAAGATGGTCTCGCCCTTCTTCGGCTGTCCAATCTTGTGCAGGCCGGACCAGGCGGTCAGACCCGGCATTCCGAGAGGTCCAAGGAAGAGCCCAAGGTCCAGGTTGTGGGGGTTCTGCACCTTGCGGCCTTGCTGCAGGATCTGAGGTGTGACGCGGGCGTACTGAGCGATGGGAGTATGGGAGTAGACGAGGTCGCCCTCGGCAAAGTCGGGGCTGTTGCTCTTGAGAACCTTGCCGACTGTGCTGTTGGTGACGGGCCCGTTGAGCTCGAAGGCGGGGGAGTATGATTTTGTGCCGGCGTCGCGCATACGGCCACGCTGGTAGGGGTCGAAAGAGGCATAGAGGACCTCGATGACCAGGCCGCCCTCGGGAGCATCGTTGAGGTCAATGGGGCGGTCCTCGATGGTGAGGTGTTCCCCCGCTACCGGGAGACCGGTAGGGATCTTCTTGAAAATGAGGGTCTTGTTTTGGGTCATGATGAATGTCGTGGTTTGGAGGAGCTTCTTAGATGAAGTGCGTGCTCTTGGAATGTGAGCTTGAGGATGTTCCAAAAGCCAGTAATTAGTGTCTGATAACTAGGAGACCGAACGTCAAGAAATAGTCTTTCAATTAAAACTGCATTGACGTAGTTGTGGGCAGAAAGTTGTGCCGAGGTATGTTGGCTATGATTTGTAAGGATATTAACGCCGATAAAGAGAACCAACCCCGCGCGTTCCACGCCTCACCCCGCCTTTTCTCGACTACGATGCTTTGGAAAGTGACACGCGAGTAAGGTGCACTAAATATGACGTGCTGTTGCTTAATCATCACGAAAACTATTGTGCGACAACGGCCACAACGATGGTCCATGGCAAATCGCCACAGAGTGTCTTCGAGATGAGAGGCTATTCACAAACCAGCTGACTGATGATGAGGTCTGCGAATTTGAGCCGACTGTGATTCGCCAAGTTACTTGGCTAGCTGACATGGCATGTAAGCACTCTAAGATCATACCCTGTCCTCTTAGATCGCATCTCTGCCGAGTTCTGACAGCTCGTTAGCGCATTTGGATTCTAGGTTAAAGTGCTAAGAGGTTTTTTGTATTGCGAATTTGTTAAGTAAAGATAAGAATTCAAAGTAAGGCTGCTGTAATTGGGTTCCTGTACTGTGGAGGTTGATGTGGACTAAGAATATATCCCATCGAGTGTTGCACGGCGACAGTACATCCGAGTGCGGGGGAAGAACTAATTAGGCGTTATTCCGATTGATTTCTACTATATCCGCAAATCAAAAAATTTATATCTCGGAGAATTTGGAGAAAAGCTGGAGACCATTGTACTGTCGCCTTGTAGCACTCGATGGGATACTTAGTCATATCCAGCTCCGTAAAACAGTTCACTTGCATGCACTCTTCGGTTTCCTGTCTATCTAGTTCGAGTCATCATCTCGATCATATTGTGGGTGTTATGATATCTCTCCGGGACCTCTTGTTCTACCAACAAGCCGCTTTTGAGCAAAACCCATCCAAGTCTGCGTGCCTGATCAAGTGGAAGACCGCCAGATACGCCGCCAACTCCCCATGCACTAGTCCCACGGAAGACCATCTCGTCACAATCAACTCCTCAGCGCTGCCAAGAAACCACGAAACTAAAGAGACCGACACTATCGAAAACCAGAATCGCCAAGCCAGAAGATAGTATCGACATGGGCCGAAGTAAATCTCAACCGTCGTCCATGTGCCGACCCCTAACAACCACACGAAAGCTCTCCCGAAAGTCCATTTCCACTTGGACATCCGCGTCATGCTGCCGCCCGTTTTCAAGTGAAGACCTGCGAGGCCGCTCCATCCGTCCAATATTGCCCTGATTGGGGGAAGAAAAGCATCCAAGGCGACCTTTGTCATGACGAGGCAAATTACTGCCAGTGAGAAAAGCACCAAGTATACGGGAAAGCTCATCCTGCCCGGCTGCAGATGCTCTACTGGTGCCATCGGAATATGGTCATGGTCTCGACGGTTCAAATTTGCTCGCGCCGCCAGGCCATCGTGCTCCCCGTCTCGTTCCGGTCGGTCGTTCCGGGTATCTCGGATTTCCAGGTTCATATCATTGACGAGTGGCTCCATGAACCCTGCTATAGCTTTGTCACGGGCGATTTGACTTTGGCGAGGTTTAAGGTCCGCTTCCGTCCGCCACGTGAGAGATCCGCGCTCTGAAAGTGATGATATCGATATGGTTGGATACAGTATGGGGGAACAGAATGAGGAAGCCTGACATGGTCAGATTACGAGATGCAGGTGAGATGCGGCTTATCTAAAGTACTTTACTTAGTAAGTAGTTGCTGTGCCTCTCACTGGGCAGAAAGCCTTAGGCCAGGGAATGGCCAACCTGCGTAAGTAGCTCAATGAACGGTGGGCTGAAAGGATAAGGTTGTACAAGGTCAGTCACGTCCATTGCGGTCGGCAGCCATCAGTTTTGATTCTTGCTTTGTGAGAATAATCTTCCTATTTTACGTCCTTGTTTCTGTCTTCCAATTAAATCCCTTACTGACTTCTTGCGGATTCGAGAACCCCCTTAGTCTCTCAACAACGAAAATAGCTTCTCTCAAATTACAATAGATACCCAACCATCAACTCGTGGCCTAGACTTGTCAGACCATGCTCTGTTGCTTGACATACTGGTACCATAGTGACCAGTAACCAAAAAACAGCATGGTGTGGGATCCGTCAGCGCGCAATGTAACTAACGTACCCCATCCACTAAGCGACGGCCCGTTTTTCCCTTCAATCCCTCCAGTATTCATCCCCCAATCTGTCACCATGCCCGAGAGGAAATCCTACGCCGTGCTGACGTCTTGCTGGGGGACCAGAGACTATCGAATCTGACAGCTGGCTAAATGCAACAGCAGTATCCGAACCGGCCTTACAGCACTTCTGAACCAACCCTACGACGCCCGTGTAGCACATCTTCAGGGATATTTAAGCATGCTAGCCTAATTCCACAGTAATGGCGCATACGAGTCGCGTTCCGGCGACTCAATCCATGATGGATCCCACGTACGATGATGCAACTCAGAGGGTATACATAAGTATAGACTCAAGTCATTGACCTTCATCATGGACTTCCCCAGAGAGTTTAGCTCGGCTCACTTCTTCAAGATTCTTTTAGCAAGACGCGCTCGTCGACTGAAGTTTCAAGCGACAAACCCCCCCTCCACAACATAATGCTGAGGGCTTTCATCTTGTCGCTCGTGAGCCTCGTGGCGGCGCAAGACCGCATCTTTTCCTCGGCCTTTGGGTACCCCGGCCGCAATGCAAGCTACGATTACATCGTCATCGGCGGCGGCACCGCCGGCCTAACTATCGCGTCGCGCCTCGCCGCAACCTCGGCCTCCGTTGCTGTAGTCGAGGCTGGCGGCTTCTACGAGGTCGAAAATGGCAACAACAGTGTCGTGCCCCTCCTCTCGCTGACCGGCATCGCCTTCATCGATCCATCGCCAGAGTTCACACCGCAGCCCCTGATGGACTGGTCCCTGGTCTCGGAACCGATCGCAGGCGCCGGAGGCCGACGGGTGCACTATGCGCAGGGGAAAACGCTTGGAGGGTCTTCGGCGATCAACACCATGTCGTATATCCGCGGGACAAAAGGGTCCTATGACCTCTGGGCCGAGACAGTTGGCGATGAGATGTTTCGTTGGGAGAATATGCTCAGGTTTTTCAAGCGCTCTATCGACCTCACGCCGCCAAACGAGGAGAAGAGGCAGAACACGAATGCGACTGTGCGGTTCGATCCTAGTGACTACGACGAGCAGGGAGGCCCGTTGCAGGTTTCTTGGAACAACTGGGTCGACCCGACGCTGACGTGGCTTGCTCAAGTGGTTCTGAGCCTCGGGCTGAGTATCAGCCCCAAGGGATTCAGCAGTGGCAAGCTGACGGGATACGGCGCGTGGGTGCCTTCGACGATCGAGCCGGAAAAGGCGCAGCGATCTACGAGCGAAAGCAGCTTCCTACGACAGGCTATCAAGGACACTGAAATTTTTGTGTACACTCACACTCTGGCAACTAAGATCCTGTTCGATGGTACCAAGGCTGTGGGTGTGAGCGTCAACTCCCAAGGGGTCGAGTTCACCCTGTCTGCTAATAAAGAAGTCATCCTCACCGCTGGCACGTTTCACTCTCCGCAACTTCTCCAGGTCTCTGGAATTGGTCCTCGCGAAAGACTGGAGGCCCTCTCGATCCCGGTCATCGCCGACGTCCCCGGCGTGGGACAGAACTTGCAAGATCCAATCCAGATCTTCGTCGCGTACCCCGTTAGCACGCCTTCTGCACAATCTCTCACTAATGATCCAGCCCTCAACCCAGGCTTCGTCGAAGAGTATCTCAAATTTGGCACCGGTCCCTACAGTTCCGCTGCAGGCTTTTTGGCGCACGAGCGGCTTCCCAACTCTACTCTCGCCAATCTCACGCAAACAACTCGCGACAAGCTTGCTTCGGTTCCTTCTGACTGGCCCCAGCTTTCCTTCATCGTAGGATCCTTCTCAACTGGGCCAGGACAAACTAGCGGGACTCTCGCTGCTTACCTCCCTCTCGTTTTCTCCCGCGGTAACGTCACTATATCGTCAGTTTCCATTGACGCGAAGCCGGTCATCAACTTGAATTGGTTATCCGACTCCGCCGATGTAGAAATAGCTGTCACGGCCGTCAAGCGGCTACGTACGGCTTGGGCCTCACCATTCGCCAATACTCCCGGATTCAAGACTGGCCCTGAGCTGCTCCCAGGAGATTCGGTGCAGACCGACGAACAGATACTGGAGTATGTGAGGGCTAACGTGGGGCAAGTGTGGCATCCTGTGTCCACTGCTGCCATGGGAAAAGAGGAAGACGTCACATCGGGCAAGGCGGTGGTAGACAGCCGCGGGCGTGTGTTTGGTGTCCAGGGGCTGAGAGTCGCTGATGCGAGCGCTTTTCCATTTGCTCTGCCGGGACACCCTCAGTCTTCTGTGTACGCTTTGGCAGAGAAGATTGCGGAGGACATAATTATTGGTCGTTGAACAAATCACATTCATTGGTGCTGTGTTGAATTAGCTATGGTCACTAGGTGACTAGGCCCCTGTGGTATCTTCCGGTGGCCCTAACTGTGTGATGCAGCATATCGCTTCTCCCTATTTCCAAGCCATATCACTGGCCATTCATGATGACCAATTCGAGTAATTCCTTCTATCCATCTGTAAGGTACCCAATGTTGAAGAGCGCGGTCACGCTGCTCATGCAAGATTGCCTAGTCGATAGCCAGGTAGGAGCTCAGTGACATGCCTCAGTGATTTTCCATGTGTTCGATAAACTCTTGAATAGCCTTGCAGTCGGACTCTCTGCACTCGATTTCCGACTGGTTTCTCTCGAGGTATTCCGTCTCGTACTTGAGAAAATGCACACGACTCTGGTTCTCTGCAATAGCTTCCTTGGCCATTCGCACCTTTTCACGACGACCAATGCTTTGGTTGACGGAGTGCAAAGTCATATAGAGATCAGAGTCGATCGTAGTGATAGAGTCGTCAGTCAGCTCGCAAAATTCGCAGTCGCCTTGGGCGCAAGAGTCACCTGAAGGCTCCCTGTCGCCGAAAGCCTTGTCGCTCTCTTCGTTCTATTCATCTGTTGTTAGCCTCGGATGTTTTTATGGTGGTGTGGCCTACTTCCCCGAGCTGATGTGATGAGACGTGAGGGGAATGGAGGTGCTGATAAAAAGGAACTCAAAGGAAGAAAGAAAATGGAGGCTCATCTCACGGCACCGGCGCTGGCGTTGGCGTTGAAAAGCTTATGGCCCATCTTGTCTCAGTACAGCATTTTCGCTGGTGTTGACGACAGAGAATTTCTGGTAATGGTAGGGCCCTGGTAAGAGGTCAGATGGAAATTCGTCAAGGAAATTCATATTATCTCACCTACTAGATGTAGTGATGCGAGCATCGATAGCAGCCTCCGCCTCGACGGTGCTCACGTACGCCCTCATGTTCTTGGTCTTAAGCCAGGGGTCAAAAGTAGACTGGGTTTGGAGGATTTTCCAGGACACCTCCCCCTTCTGGCCCAAACGCCAGAGACGTCCAATGACCTGGCACTGCAAGCCAAAGTTGGAACAATTCTCCTGATAAGAGGTCAGATGGAAGTTTGTTAAGGAAATTCACATTATCTCACCGACTCGATGTCAGGGGGACTATCAGCTCCAATAATTCCTAGCTGGGCCCGGGAGGTGTATTCGAGATGGTCTCAGTGAGAACGTCCATTCTTGGTTCTCAATACCACCCGTACTTACGAAGTTCCAGGGAAGTGGCTTCCATACAAGTCGTCTCCAGACGAGCTTCATTGAGAGGGTCTACGACCTTGAGAATGCAAGTGGAGTCACCTTGCCGAGTGAATAGATTAGGTAGGTGAAAGTCTAGGTAAAACATCCAGGCGAGTCGTGAGAGAACCTGTCTGCTGGAGTAAAGAAGCTCTCCGGGCCTTCACTGAAGATGTAGTGATAATTCTGCTCTCCTCGATGTTGTTATAATCGAGAATCCAAGGGACCCAAAGCAGGGTGGGATTGATCTCGTTGTGGTCGGTGGTACATTTTGGAGCCCTTGACGGTTCGATGCACCAAAACCTCGCCCGGCGTCTAAGCTTGTGACCTTACTTACTATGAGCACGGTTCTATGCAATGTGACTGAGTGTATAAGAAAGGCAGCGCATGATTCAGGACATGATCAGAAGCTAGAAAGATTAAATCGGAATATCATGTACTGGTAATTGACTATATTGTACGTTGAGTCGGCGATTATTCGTGGTGTAAGACATGAGTATAATGTTCCACGCGGTCTCGGGTTTGTGGCGCTCAGCCTTGAAGCGGTCGAAGAACTTGACAAGGCCCTTAGTCTTTTCCAAGGTTTCTTTCACCCTGTGCTTGGGCGCGGTCTTGGGCGTCTGGTAGAACACATGCACCTTGAAGAGGTGATAGAAGTTCTCCTTGACGACCTTGAACGTCTGGTCGAGGACGGACGCCGGCATCACAATGGCCGAGGGATAGTACTTCCACTCGGGGTCGCCCTCGATATATATATATTTATATGCATAGATGTGCGCAAGTGATAAAATAGTTCGGATCATGGACCCATATATAGCTAAAGTACAAAGGAGTATCATGTCGAAAGTGCCTGGCCTTGTTGGACCCAGGTCTCGTGGGATCTTTACATTATGATGAAATTTGATGGGATCCTATAAGCTAATTATCTCCACGACTGTAGATGCTCTGATAAGTACACCACAGCTGGGTGTTTGTGCCGTTGTGCTCTTTCAGTATGACCGTCACTGTCATCCTGTCTTGTTCTGGCGCTGTTTGCCCATCGAAAGGTGGTTTCCTATCAACCCCGCACTTTCAATTGCGCATGTGCCGCTTGTGCAGGATCAGAATGCAGAGATCTGCAAGCCAAACCCGTGATCCATAGAGGTAGGAGAGAGACGATTGGGGAAACCGGGTAAGCGATAAACGGAAATCGTGTTACGCTTGTTGCTACTACTTAAAATTGTTCCTTACTGTTTAATGCACCCGCTTGAGTGTACCCTGTTTGTCTTCGAGAGAAACAGATCTTATGTTGTCGGATGGCGCCTCAAGTTGAGAAGCACAATCATTTACACCTCTACAAGCTTTAGAATTGATTCCCCATTGCCAGAGACGCACGGAACCGATGGAGACTACCAGAGAGAAGCTAGAAGGGAGGCCAGAGAGAGCAGGACACCCCGCACACATCGATATCCAGCCAGCGACGACAAGGAGAAGCGGCACAGTAGCGGACATCAAGCAAGAACAAGAGCTTCAGCACATCGGAACACTTGAACGAAAACTGAAGTCGCGGCATGTTCAGTTTCTGGCTCTATCGGGAGCCATCGGCACTGGGCTTTTCGTCGGCAGCGGCCAAGTTCTGTCGCTGGCCGGGCCGTTGTCCGCCTTCATCTGCTATGCGGTAACCGGGTTCAACCTCTACTGCGTGATCAACTGCCTCGGTGAGATGGCTGCATGGCTTCCGATTCCGGGAGCTGTGCCAATCTTTGCTGCGCGGTTCGTTGATCCCGCGTTGGGGTTCACTTTGGGGTGGAATTATTGGTAAGGCAGCTCTCATCCTCCATGTCCCTTGGTCTGCGGAAATGGAGAGATACTTACCCAGCTTTGCGCTTGGGGAGTCAAGAAATTTCAACCTTGGTATGAGCCATGGCGTGGGTATTGCAATGTTAAACTTAAGACAGGTATCAATTCGCCATCGGTGTCCCGATCGAAGTCACCGTCTCGGTGGTCATCCTCGACTATTGGGACCACACCATCCCACAAGCCGCTCTCATCACCATCTTCTTTGCAGCGATGGTCCTCGTAAATTGTCTTCCGGTCCGCATATATGGCGAAGCAGAGTTCTTCTTCGGCGCCATCAAACTCACCACAATCATCGGCCTCATCATCCTAATGTTCATCATCACCGTGGGTGGCGGGCCAAGTGGAGACGCCATCGGCTTCCGCTACTGGCACGACCCCGGCCCTATGAATGAGTACCTCCGGCCCGGCGCCCTCGGTCGTTTCCTTGCCTTCTGGAAAGTCTTCATCCAAGCTACTTTCTCTTACGGCGGCAGCGAAATGGTCGTCGTCGCGTCTGGCGAGACTGAGAACCCACGCCGCAATATTCCAAAGGCAATTCGCCGCGTCTTTTGGCGCATCGCGATATTCTATGTCTTCGCCATCTTCCTCGTCGGGCTGTGCGTCTCTTCAGAGGACCCTAACCTGCTCAACGCAATCAGCAGCAGCAGTCCCGGCGCCGCGCAGAGCCCCTTTGTCATCGCTATCAGCAACGCCGGCATCGGAACGCTGCCCTCCATCATCAACGGCGTGATCCTCAGCAGTGCCTGGAGCGCCGGCAACAGCTTCTTCTACGCCTCCACGCGGGTCCTCTACGCTGCTGCACTCGATGGCAAGGCGCCTGCGATCCTTAAGTGGGAGCGCTTCGGCGTACCGTACGCCTGCGTCGCTGCTACATCGGCGCTGGGGTGCTTGGTCTACCTCAACGTGAACAATCGCGCCGCCGAGGTGTTTTTCTGGATCAGCAACCTCAGCGCCGTGAGCACGCTGATTGTGTGGGCTAGCGTGTGCTATACCTACCTACGGTTCTACCAGTGCCTGCGACATAATGGTATTGATCGCGATACGTTGTCGTACAAGGCCCCGATGCAGCCGTTTCTCGCGTACTTTGCCATTGTTTTCTGTCTCGTCGTTGCGTTCTTCAATGGGTTTGATGCGTTTTTCCCAGGGCGGTTCAGTGCCAAGACGTTTTTGCCGCCGTACATCGACATTCCAATCTTCTTGTCACTGTTCTTCGGCTACAAGTTTGTCAAGAAGACCAAGTTTGTGAAAATTTCCGAGATGGATATCTGGTCGGGCAAGGCGGAGATTGATCGGCTTGAGCCGACGTGGCCGGTGGTGAAGCCTCGCAACTGGTTGGAACGGATTTGGTTTTGGATCGCGTGAAGCGCGGCGCACAATTTTCGGCGATGTGGCAGGCCGTACGACGGTACACACAGTACACGTAGTAAGCATGGATCACTTGACCTTCTTCGTCGCTGCTAGTACTTCCTTCGCCGACAAATTCTCGTGAGAGTTGGGCTGAAAAGAGGTGACTTAGGTGGGAGTTGGATCTAGACCAGAAACTTGCCGCGGCAAACAACTATTTCCTAAAGCCCCGACCTTTGGAGAACTTCCTCTTAGGTTCCAGACCGGTGGAAACATAAATTCCCATGACCCCAGCCCAGACCCAGCGGTGAGCAACTAGTTTTTCGCGAGTGAGAATCTTTGATCAATAGCCAGATTCCTGGCGCACCCGACACTCTGGTCAATACCCACAGATCGGTGGCCGGGGAGCTCGGGCGCCGCCTGGAACCCCAGCTCCGATGCTACTGCAAAATCCCGCCGACCCTCTTGTTTTGCATAGTCTCTTCCATGTGTCTCTTGACCCTCCTGCCTTGAGAAGAGATTAGATCCTTAGTTAGTGCTGTAGGTAGAATTCCAGGAAAAAGCCTAATAGGTACCTGACAACGAGGTATTTTGCAGAGACCATGATGTACTGATGCAGACGGCACTTCTGTTAGTGCCGCTGACTAGTACCGGTAGCCTAGTGGAAAGACGGCAGTCAGACGCATCATTTGTGGCGTTTTTGTAGTGTTGGCGGCATGCGCGATTATATCTCAGCTCTGCCCACCGGCCGACATGTTCGCAGTCGTCTTGTGGGGGAAGCTTGGAGTAGGTATCCTAAGTCCTGGCCCCCTAGCCTGAATGCAAAGAAGTTCCGGACGAACAGTATTATCAATGGTTTGTGGACAGCGTTCCGCAACAGAAAAATCAAGTGAAGCGATGACAGAGGGTCGTACGGTGGGTGTATTCTCTGGACAGGCCAAGAGACCTAGACTCTGAACGTGAACATGAGCCGATTTCGCCCATACGGAGGAATCAACCACCTCTAGTCGCCGAGGCTGCTGCCGTCCTTTCTTTGGCGGGAACCCTTTTTCGGTGGTGCTGACAGGCGCAAAGGCGGCCTCGTGGCTCGCGCGGGTGCAAATCCATTTGTCAAAAGCGACCGGGTTGACCGATGTTCTGATCACTTGGCCACCCCGTTCCTGAGCCAGTCGGGAGCATGCGGAGATTGGTCATAGAGTGGGGGCCGGAATTAGAGACACAGGGTCCTGAATTCGCGGGCTGTCTTTGTGGACGACTTTTGGGGTGAACTGGGTTTGAATTTGTGGTCCTTTACGAGGTAGCAGACTGGGAATAGGATCCTAACGCTTATTGCAATAATTGCTCGTCAAAATAGTGCGCACAACGAGGTAGCAACGCTGTAGCCATCAGATGGGCTAGAAGACTAGAGTCAGGAGTTTCCTTTGGACAAAAATGCGCCGAGGTCGTTGGTGGTGGCTGCGGGTAGACTGATCGAGTCAAGCAGATGTTCTGCTGACGCCCTCTCTTTGGCGGCGGTACTTTTTCACAAGTGAAGAAGAGATGATGAGTGAGAATGAGACAAAAGAGAAAGACCAACTCAAACCCTCTGTCTTGGCAACTTTCGTGCCGAGGAATGGGTGGGCGGATCGTGGAATGCGCCACGACGGCTTGGAGGACGTTACCGTTTGCGGTATCGATCGCAGCGGTTTGTGGTGCGAAAGGCGCACGCTAAATCAGATAAGATGGATCTGATAAAAAAAATTCTCTGATGGCTTGAGTCCCTGATCCCGACACCACCAAGTTCCACGCCACCAACCTGGAGTGCTGGATACATTCAAGGACTTCAACTCCGAGGCTTGAAGACCCGGGGCTAGGGATCGAAGGGGCGCTAGTCTGTTAACTGACAAGATGCGAAAAAATCATCACAGCTAGCGCAAGCTGCGTCAGGCTGGATCGACTGGCTCAGTGGTTCGCCCCTCCCCGTAGGTTCCCAGTCGTGCCAGTCTCTGGCTGCCCACCGAAATGGCTCCGATGGGCAAAGATGGATGGAGCGGCCTTGATTGGGCAGCGTGCAGGCTGCCTGCGAGCCTGAGAGATATTGATAAAGCTCTATTCGCCATGTCTGGAAAGTTAAAAAGGGCCCTGGATGTAACCTCACCACCTTGTCCTTCCTGTCGTCCCTGCAGGCGGATCCTCTCTCTGAATTTTCTCCCTCTTTAATTCATTCCATCCCCGGTCAGGTCATCAGCTCGACCTCGTCTCGTTGCTCTTCTTGCCTGTGAACAAATAGTTGCGCAGTGTGCTCTGTGCAATTGAGCAGACTCGAAACTCAGAGACGCGACCTTCACCTAGCCCCCGAATCCCTCACCTTCTCGGTCAACGCTCACCTCGGCGCATTGACCTTCGGTGTGTCGCAGCTCCTGCCACAGACCACAAAACGTCACCGGAGCCCCGACTCCTTCCCGAGTAAGTGCCGCCGTCTTTCAACGTCACCTTCCGTCAGGTCCCTCAAGGTTGCCGGCGCGGAAGTGGAGTTTCGCCGACTTCATCCGGGGATCTTGCGAAATTCAGCTTTATCTCGACTACAACTCTCTCCCGAAAACTCTCTGTTCTCGTACTAACTTTATCCCAGGCTCTCCTTATCATCCATCTCATCTGGGTATTGTAGTCACTCAAGATGGGTCTCTTTGGTCGTAAGAAGGAGACTGAGTCTCCTTCGGATATCGTCTCGCCCACAGCCGATCTCACCTCGGCAGAGAAGAATGCTCCTCTCTCCCAAAACAGCCCTCCTCCTCCCACGTATGAGTCCAACAACATCTTCGGCGAAAAGTCGCCTGGTGTTGCGAGAATCGAGGCCCTCTCTGCCGCCATCACCACCACCGACCGCTACTTTATCTTCTTCGGCGTCTTCCTAGTCGCCTACGCCTACGGTCTTGATGGAACCCTCCGCTACGCCTACCAACCCACCGCCACGAGCAGCTACGCTACGCACTCCCTCCTGGCTACGGTTAACGTCCTGCGCTCCGTCATCGCCGCTGCTGCCCAGCCCACATCCGCCAAGATTGCCGATGTCTTTGGTCGTGTCGAGCTCATCTGCGTCTCTGTTATCTTCTACGTCGTTGGCACCATCGTCGAGGCATGCGCCACCGAGGTTAAGGCATTCGCCGCCGGCGCCGTTATCTACCAGGTTGGCTACACCATGATCATGCTGCTTGTCGAGGTCATCATCGCCGATATTACCTCCACCCGCGCCCGTCTGTTGTTCAGTTACATTCCTGCGCTTCCTTTCATCATCAACACCTGGGTCAGCGGTAACATCTCCGCCAAGGTTCTCGGCGAAAGCACCTGGCAGTGGGGTATCGGCATGTGGTGTATCATCTACCCTGTCTGTGCCCTTCCCCTCATCATCAGCCTGTCCATTGTCGGCCGCCGCGCTAGGAAGCAGGGACTGCTCGACTCTTACTCATCTCCTTTCCGCATGCTCGGCCCCAAGAAGTTCCTCATTGAGCTATTCTGGCAGCTCGATGTCATTGGTATCATCCTGGTTATTGCCATCTTCGCCCTGATTTTGGTTCCTCTCACCATTGCCGGTGGCTTCTCGACAACATGGCGCGAGGCTCACGTCATTGCCCCCCTCGTCATTGGTATCCTTTGCATTCCGGTCTTCGCTGTGTGGGAGATGAAGGCCAAGCACCCTCTCGTTCCCTTCAAGTTGATGCGCGACCGTGGTATCCTGGCCCCTCTCGGTATTGCACTGGGTCTCAACTGGGCTTGGTACATGCAGGGAGACTACCTCTACACTGTCTGTATTGTTGCTTTCGACTTCAGCATTGCGTCCGCTACCCGGATCACGTCGCTGTACTCCTTCTGCAGTGTCATCACCGGCTTTATCCTGGGCTTCATCGTCTTCAAGGTCCGCCGCCTCAAATACTTTATCATCGCTGGTACCATGCTCTTCATGGTCGCTTTCGGTCTGTTGATCCACTACCGTGGTTCTCCTACCTCCGCCGGACAAAGCGGTGTCATCGGTGCCCAGGTCCTTCTCGGTATCGCAGGTGGCATGTTCCCCTATCCTGCGCAAGCCTCGCTCCAGACCACTCTGAAGCACGAGCACCTTGCAATCATGACCGGTCTTTACCTTTCCACTTATAACATTGGGTCTGCCTTCGGTAACACAGTATCTGGCGCTATTTGGACTCAGGTTTTGCCCTCCGTCCTTCAAGAGAATCTTGCACCCTTTGGCAATGACTCTCTGGCTACCGTAACCTACGCCCAGCCTTTCGTTGCCATCGCCGAGTACCCCGTTGGAACCCCCGAGCGTGCAGCCATCATCGACTCGTACCAGCACGTCCAGCGTCTGCTTACCATTACTGGTATCTGCTTGACGGTTCCTCTTATCGCGTTCGCCTTCCTCCTGAGGAACCCCAAGTTGAACGACCAGCAAACTCTTGCGGTTGACGACGTCCAGATCCGCCCTGCGGAGAACAATGACAGCCTGCCTAGCAAGATCTAAGCATCGAATTTGGATGTACCAAGACTGTCGATGTAGTGAGTTCACGTAATTGATTTATGGATATCCGAAACCCTGTACGAGACACGAGTCGAGTCTTCATTTAGAGATCGTGGTTAGAGATACCATTCACAGAAAGATATAGTCGTAATTTAATATTCTTCCCAAGTCACGATAAACCCTCACACTGTCTGGTTACATCTGCAATTAACCACAACCGCCACTTATTTATCATGCAGACTATGCCAAGGCTGACTTGACGTAGCAACTGCTTACTTGCGTCTGTGCCAGCCTCCATTGATACCGCACTTTGAGACCTTCCCCGCACGAAACAACCCGACTTGTATGCAGTCATTCCCTTCATATTCATTTGAGGATCGACTTCAATTCGTTACCTATACAGAATAAAGCAAACACGCGCTTTTCTAGGCTTAAGCATCCCCATCGTTCTTAGAAACTAGCTCATGCAGCACATTCCGATTGGCGTTCCTGCGACTTTTCCTGGCTTGAGTTACTCCCATGCAACATC